CGGGGAGCCGGGGAGCCGCCTGGTCGGGAGGCAGTGCGGGCTGTTCCTCGGCAGCCGCCGCAGGGACGTCCCCGCCATTCGGGACTACGGGGGGCCCCGCGGGGGTGTTTTCCGGAGGGCCAAGGGGAGTCTCTTCTACTGGTTCCGTTTCGACATCGGAGACGTCTTTAGCTTGAAGAGGAAGCTCTGGCAGAGAGAAGGGCCCCAGGTCTAAGTCGTCCTCGGAGCTGGGGAAGCCATCAGGCCAGGGCACCGCTTCCACCTGGCCGAGGGCCGACAGGTCGTGCCCATTTTCCAGGAAGTTATTCTCCACGGGCGCCAGAGCCTCCACCTGAGTCACGGCGGCCAAACACGCAGGCTCCGGGGCCGCGTCGGGGGGCGCGTCAGGGAGCGGTTTGCAGTTGGGGAAAAAGGGCTCCAGCCTGGAAGGAGGGGCAAAGGGGGCTGGTTCTTCCGGGGCGGGCACAGCGGCCGGGACTGTGCCCACCACGTCGCCTTTGGCGCCCTCGAGTCCAGGCTCGGTGGCCGACAGAGGGTATGAGTCAGGGGAGCCCGGGTAAGGGGGCTCTGGGGCGCCGAAGGGCCCCGGGGCAGCAGGGTGGAGGGCCTCAGTGGGGCAGAAATGCTGCGGGGACTCCGGGAGGCGCTGCGGGGACTTAAGCAGGAGGTCCGGCCCCACAGGCCAGCTGACGGGGTTCTCGGGGGCGCCCCCCATCAGGCTGCAGGACAGGGCCTGCTCCGAGGCAGCTGGGTGCGCCCACTCGACGGGGTCCTCCGTGATGACCGTGCTGAAGGGGCCCTCGTCCAGCGGCTCCAGGTAGCTGGGCTCCGGGGGGATGATGGCGGCAGTGGCCTGCTGGTCCTCCGTGGCATCCAGGGGGATGCCCAAGTCAGGCGGAAGGGCCCCCTCCATGGACGGGGCCAACAGCTCCTCTCTGTGCGAAGGGGGGGACTTCGCTTGTAAACCAGAGAAAGCACCCTCTGGGGAGGGGGTGACATTGACCACAGCCGCAGGCGGGCAGTGCAGAGCGTCCGCTTTGGGGGAGGGGATGCCATAGTCCGGGGAGTAGTACCCCGGGGACAAGCAGGCGAACTTCTCGGCAGGACCTGGGGGCACGGGGGCCTTGTCCTCCAGGCGCTGCCCTGGCGAGCCATAAGTGGACGCGGTGGGGACGCTCTGCTGTCTGAACAGCTTGTCCCCAGTGCCGAATTCTTCCTTGGGGGTCCTCCGGATATCGACAGACACCGAGCGGTACAGGCTCGTGCACGGCGGCCTCGTAGGCGTCTGGCTCGCGGTTTCCGAAATCCCACTCGCTGCCACGGAGAACCTGTCGAAAAAAGAGGGGGAGCAGGCGCTGGCGGACGTGCTGGACACGGGCTGGGGGTCCGCGCAGTCGAAAATGAGGTCGGAGTAGTCGTCCGCGCTGCAGGACGGGGTCCTGGGCGTGTGCATGGCCTCCTCGTAGCTGGGGCACGACACCACGGACGCGGGCGTGGGGACCCCGGTGGGCCGGCCCTGGTCCGGCCTCGGGGAGGCGGGCAGCGCCTCTTTCGCGTGCGGCCCGGCCGGCCAGTCCCTGGCGTCCCCGGCCGGCCCCAGGGGGGGCTTGCCGTCGGCGGCCGGCGGGGCCAGAGCGGGCTCCTTGGGCCTCTTGTCCTTCGGGGCGGGGTCCGGCACCAGCGGCCTCCGTGCGGGCACGTCCAGGCCCTTCTTGCGCGCGTCCTCAGCGGGCTTCGCCCTGTCCTTGAGCTTCGGGTCTCCGGACCGGTGCCTCATCTTCTCCATCTGCTTCATCCTCTCCTTGTGCCGCTTGTGCCGCTCCTCGACCTCCAGGTCCTTCTGGGACAGCATGCGCTCGAAGCTGGTCATCATCAGGTCGCCGTCGCCCAGAAGCTTCTCTCTGGGCCGGGCATCTCTCTTGCCCTGGTCTCTGGCTGCCGGCGGCTTATCGTTGCCGTTGCCGACCTTCACCGAGTCACCCTTTTCCTTCTCCGGGTTTTCCTTGAACTTCTCCTTCGGTTTGGTCTCGCTGAGCTTCAGGCTCTCGTCCCGGGACTTGTCTCTGAGCGCGTTTGGAGGGTTGTCCTTGTCTCTGGCTGCGGGCTTCTGCTCGTCCTTGTGGTGCCGCGGGGGCCCGTCGCTGTGCCTGTCCCTGTGCTTCTCCCGCTCGTCCCGCCACCTCTCGCGGTGCCTCTCCCGCCGCCTCTTGTCCTTGAGGGCACCGGCGGCACCACAGCCATAAGGCTTCAGCTCCTTGTCCGCTTTCTTGGAAGGCTCTCTCTCGGAATCATTTTTATCTTTCTTTTCAGCGGCGAACAACTCAATGGTTTTATCTAGCTCGTCCTCTACGTCCGCTTTGGCGCCGTAAAGGATCCCGTAAGCGTCGGCGTCCGAGAAGTCCTTGTCGTACTGGCCGGGGTCCCTCCTGCTGCCCGTGTCCTTGTAATCGTCGCTCTTGTCTCTCTTCTCACACTTGTCTTTCCGGACTCTCTCCCGATCGTGGCTTTTCTTGGACGAGGACGAAGAGTGTCTGTGCCTTTCTCTCTCCTTGACCTTCTCCTCCGGGGGCTCCGTGAAGGACACCTCTAGGAGGGCGCTCAGGCCGGGCTCCTGCCCGCGGTCGGTGAAGCTGTCCGAGGACACCTCGCTGGCCTTGTCGTTGGAGTCCTCCCGGTACGCGTGCAGGGCCTCCTCCTCCAGCCTCTCCAGCAGGCTCTTCTCCGCCTCGGCGCTCCTCGACACCTTCCTGTCCCGGCAGTGCTCCCGGTCCGGCCTCTCGCGGTGCCTGCTCCTGGCCTTGTCCTCTGCGGAGGGCTTCCGCTCCAGCTTCTCGGGAGGCTTCTGCTTGCTCTTCTTCTCCTGGGTGGGGTCGGCCGAGGTGCGGTCCTTCCTGTCCTTGCACTTGTCCGCACCCTCTTTGTCCTTCTTGTCCTTGTGCTTCTCCGGGACCTTTTCTTTCTTGTCCTTCGCCCCTTCCGCGGCTCCCTTCTCCTTTCTCTTTTCTCGGAGCTCTCGATCTTTCTGCTTCTCTGAGTGCTGCCGGTCGGCAGAGTGCTTCCGGTGCCGGTCGGTGTCCTGGGGGCCGTCCGCCCGCGGCGCGTCCCCGGCGTCCCCGAGTCGGAGCCCGCTGGCCGCGAACGCGTCCTTCTCGTCCTCGCTCTCGTCTGTGAATATGTCGGCGATGTACCAGCTCTTCTCTTTGCCCTTCTTCTCGTCTTTCTTCTCAGGGAGGTCCTCGGAGAGAAGTCCGGGGAAGTTCTTCTCCCTCTTTTCTTTCAGCTGGTCAAGAGACGCCTTTCTCTCCTTGTCCCTGTGCTTCTCCTTGGGATCCTTCTTCTCTTTAAAGCATCTGTCAAACTCCTTGTCCTTCTGACCTTTCTCGAGGACAGACTTTTCGCTTTTATCTCTGTCACCGGACTTATCTTTGTATTTCTCTAATTTCCCCCTTTCCTTCTTCTCCTTGTCTCTTGCTGCATGGAGCCTCTCCCAGGGCTCGGGGCCCTTCCCAAAGTCACAGTCGGGCCTGTCCTTGAAGCCGGCCTCGCCAGCCAGCTCCTTCGGCTCCTCCCGGTGGGCCTCCTCGGGCTTGGGCCTGCCATCCTTCCGCTCCTTGGCGGCCTCGAGGGCGTCCTTCCTGTCCCGCCCGCCCTCGGCGGACTCCCTCCGCTTTTTGTCCTTGTCGGGAAGGCAGCCGGGGATGCCCTTATGCTTGTCTGCCTGCTCCTTCCTCCTCTCGGAGCTCTTGTCCAGACAGTCTCTGTCCTTCTTCCGGAAGAAGGCGTCCCTGTCGCTGCGCCTGTCCCCGTAGTCCCGCTTCTCACGGCCCTTGCTCTCCCGCTTCTTTTCCTTGCTGTCCTCCTTCACGGTCTCCAGGATCAGTCTGGCCACGGGGTCACTTTTAACATCCCTGTAGTCTGTCACTGGAGAATCCCAACTGTCGTCCCCTTTGAAATCAAAGGACGAATCGGACAAGTCCGAGAACCACCGATCCTGCTGGTCGTCAGAAAGGCTGAATTTGGTGTCTTCGTTCTCCAGAAACTGACTCTTGTTACAATAGTCATCGAAAGCGGAAGAGTCTTCCCTGTAGACTTTTTCTTTTTTCAGTTTGTCTTTTTCTTCTTTGAAAGCCTTCTCCTTCTCCTTTGGAATCCTGTCCTCCTTACAGTCATTCTTCTTCTCTAGCTTGGCGGGCCTGTCTTTGGACTTTTTCTTTCTTTCCTCTTTGTAGAGCCTCAGTCGTTCCTCTTTGGGAGACTTTTCCTTCACCAGTTTCTCTTTTTCTGCTTTACTCCCACGGTCTTTCTCTTCTCGGAAAGACCTGCTCACATCTTTGATTCTCTTCAGGGCCTTCTCGTCTTTGGAAACCTTGACCACCTCCTCTTTGAAGAGCCATTCCCTGTCTTCCGACTTCACCTTGCCGAGCCGCTCTTCCTTCCTGAAGTGGTCCCGGTCGTGCTTCAAGGCCTTCAGCTTGCCCTCACTGGGAACGTCGCCGTCCAGAAGTATGGCCTTCTCCGGCCGCTGCTTGGAGTCCTCATACTCGTAAGTGAAACTTTTCAACTTGAGTTCCTGACCGACGGAGCACAGCCCTTTCTCCTTGTTTTTGTGTTTGTGTTTTGTTTTGTGTTTCTTGACGACCTTGCCCTCCTTGTCCAGCTTGGGAATGGCGCCGTCCACGCTGGCGTGGAAAGAGTTCTTCTTCTCCGACAGCGTGCTCTGCAGGCCGCCCCGCTTCCTGTGCTCCTGCTTCTTCCTCACGGGCTTCAGCGACTCCACGCTGGAGCCCTCGGAGGAGCAGTCAGACTCGCTCGTCAGTCTCGTCCTTGTGGAGTCTGATAAAGAGCTGACCTCTGACCAGGCGGGAGAAGAGAGGCTTTTCCAATTGTCTGTCCGCCAGTGCCTGGCGTGCTGGTCCGCGTGGCCGGGGTTATGCTTCTGGGCGGCAGAGCTCCCGTGAGACGAGGTGGAGGAGGCGGACAGAGAGCTGAACAGGGACGGGTCCTTCAGCACCAGTGGGGACTCCTTGAGGCAGCCAGAGCTCCCCACCGAGTCCCCGTCGTCCTCCCCGCTCTCCGAGGACTCGCTCTCCGACTCGGAGGAGCAGAACTTGTCATTCCTTTTCCCAAACCGCACTTCCTTGCCTTTTGTCTCCTTCTTTCGCTTCTTTTTCACTTTATTTTTCTCTTTCTGCTGCTTGGAATTGGAAGGTTCCCGCGTTTTGTTACCGGGCAGTATCGTGTGTGCCGAGAGCCTCAGCTTCTCTCCTGTCCCCACAGTGACACCAACGTCCTCCTCGTCTGACGTGTCTGACAGGATGCGATGAGCCGCCTTCTTTGGTGCAATCGTGTTATTTTTAGTGTAACTTTTCACTTCCATTTTGGGTATAGAAATAAAACTATTTGATTTAGTTTCTTTTCTGTAATCCTTTTTCAGTAAGTGTTTGTCGTCCACTGGAGGGACTCTGTCCTGCTCGTCGTCCTCGTCAAACTCGTACTCATCCTTGACGGGGGTCACAGTTTTCTGGGGCTCTGGATTCTTAGCCTTGTGCTTCAGGCCTTTTTCAAATTCAGAGTCTGTGTTATTGCCGTCAACTGAACTAGAAGGTGCGAACGACGGGGCGTCTTCCTCCTCTGAGCTCTCTGCTGGGAACAGGGAGGAAGAGGTCAGAGGCAGAGTCACAGCGACCCTACTGGACATGCACGGGGATGGCGCTCTGCAGACGAGGCGGGGGGCGGGGGGGGGAAGGGGAGGAGAGACAGCTCTTCGCCTGATTTAGATAAAGCGGAGGCCAGCCACAGGCAGGAGGAAATGAGAGAGAGATTTGTGTGAGGGCAGGGCCGGAGGACGAGGAAACCCTGGGGGCGGGGTCCCGGCCGTCCAGAAGCTCCCCCACCCCAGCCGGCACACGCGGTGCGGCTCCCGGCCACTGACCGGTCGAGCTCTCCTCGCTGGACGTGTAGGTCCCCTTGCCCAACAGGAGATTCACCATGGTCGGGGAGTTGGCCACCTTCAGCGGCGTCTCGCCTTTTCTGTTGCTTTGCTGAGGGTTCCCGCCATACCGCAACAACAGCTTCACCACCTACGAAACAGCAACCGGCGGGTCAGGGGCTTCCTGAGAAGCACGCGACGCGCCCCCGTGCCGGTACAACTGCAGCCGCTTCCTAGAGTCCTGTGCTCGACCAGACAACGGCCCCCCACCGCCACAGCACGGCCCCCCACCCCAGCCGAGCACGCCGCCGCACGGGGGAGGTCTGCGCTCCCATGCAGAGTCCTCCCCATCGGTGGTGGGCCGACCACGGCAGGGCCCACGGGGTGTGGAAAGAAGGGCTCTGGAGGTCTGGTGGGGAGCGGGGACTGACAGAACAGAGGAAACAAAGAGCGAGCTTCTTCCAAGTAGGTTTATTTTGTGTTCTCGTTTATTTTAGAAAAGAAGATTGCCTCTTCCGTGCCTTGACACAGTAAGGGGGGGGGTCCTGTGAATGACAGACACAGTCCAGGTGACCCCGCGGCAGCTCTGCTCAACTGTCTACAGCCGGCAAGTGTGCTTCGCACACCCGGGGCGGCCGACTCACTGCCCTCAAGTGCAGGTTCAGTGCTGTCTCGGCCCCAGTTCGGACACTGCAGTGTTGAAACAATCTTTAACCAGGAACACCCCGTCGCTCGTTCCCGCTTAGGACGCCGCGGCCTCCCCCGACCAGGACCCCGCTTCCCGGGCACGGGTTTCCCACGGCTGCTCTAGCGAATCACCAGCCCCTCCGTCTCGCCAAGTCTGCAACGGGTCTCGCTGACCCTACAGATGTGTGGTGTTGGCTCCTTCCTTTCCGTGTGCGTGGGGTCCCTTGCAGTGGTGGGACTGGCCCTGTGTCCCTGCCGTCTGTCTGCCTGCTGAGGGCTGTCCCAACTGCTGGAAGCCACCATGTCCCTCGGCCCCTTCTGCCAAGGCTGGCAACGCGGGCGAGCCGCCCTCACGGTCTCCTCCCTCCTGGGGAAGGGTTTCTGCTACACGGACCCCAGAGGGCACTGGGCCCGTGGGGATAATCGAGGGTCACCACTGCATGATCTTTTGCTTACTCCCATCCGTGAAGTCCCCTTACCACGTGAGGTCACATATTCACAGTCCCAGGATCTGGACGGGGATCTCTCCGGGGGCCGCTACCCTGTACCCCTCCCCGTATTTCCACAGTCTGTTCCGTAAGGTAGTTTTACAAGGACAATTACAGAAGTACAGAGATTCAGAGGACGACCCTGTCCCTCCCCACTCTGTCGGCTGCCAACGTAGCGCCAGACTCGTGTCATCAATCCCTCCCCCACCCTGGGTACTCTAGCGGGTCCCAGGCATTTCATAAACTTTTCTAGCATTTCTCTAAAAGGACCCTTAAAAAAACAAAATAACCACGATGCCTTTATCTAACCCAAGGAGCTAACCAAGAGCCCTGACGTCAAGTACACAATCTGTGTCCGGACTCGTCCGGTCACCGTGGGCATCTTCTCATTCACAGCCCTCCCCTGACTGTGTGACTCATCATCCTTCGACTGCTCGCCACTCGCTGGGTGCTGCTAGTTCCCTGGCACCCGCCCAAGGCGACGGGGCAGAGCAGCTACAGGAGAGCGTCAGAGGTGCGTTCCGGTCTACAGGCGCTGTCCTCGCCAGGCCCCACTGTCCTTCCTGGGCCTCTTCACGAAGGTCTGGTAATGACCACAGCAAGAGCCTCGCCACCTCTGCGTGTCTCCTGCATCAGACCCAGAGGCAGCCGTTTCCCCAAGGGGGCTAGTCCTCTTGGGGAGGCCGTGCGCTTGGGTACTCGCTGCTCCCAGACTGGTTACGAGGGTCCTCCCGTGTACGGACTACACCTCTCTGTGCTTCATCAACAGGAAATGCCACAAGGACAAGGACAGTGCCGGCAGCAGCCCATGAATACCCCCCTCCCCCGCTCCCCACCGCCGTATGATCATCCAGCTGCTAAAACCTAGACATGCCCGCATGACCAGAGCAGGGCCCCGTCACACGGAGCAAGAGGTCACCCAGGTGCTGACCCAGGATGAGCAGGTGGGCTGGTCAGAGAGGACGGCTCTGGTGGGGGGGGGGGGGGGGCAAACGTGCAGGACAGTAGGGACGGCGGGACAGGGAGCGACAGGATGACGTCCAAGGCGGCCAGCAGGCCCGGCGGGGGACGTGGGTGCGGGGAGGCACCCACCTTGTAGTGCCCGTTGTTCGCGGCGTCGTGCAGGGGGGTGTCGTCGTCTAGGCCCTTGGTGTTCACCTCTGCCCCCGCGGCCAGCAGCTGCTTGGCGACGTCGTAGTAGCCCCGGTTACACGCCTCGTGCAGCGCTGTCCAGCCTGGAAACAGACACTTAGGACCTATGTTATTTAATCCTCAAGAACGCCACTCCTGTCCCGAGGCAGCGCCCTGCGCGGAAGGGCTACGGTCCCGGGAAGCCCTGAGTGTCCTTTGCCGGGGCGCCCCGTCTGCCCCGCGACGTGCAGCTCGCTAACCCTCCAGGTTCACCCTCTGCGGGCACAAGCTAGGGTAGGGGACTCGTCGGGGGTGGCAGGCTCAACCCAGCGTATCTGGCAACACACGTGGAGGGCGGCCGAGGGGGCTGCGGGCAGGGTGGCAGGGTCTGTGACCACAGCTGCAGGTTTGGAAACGTGCCCCCTGGGCAGCACGTGGCCGAGGCCACGCGGGGAGGCCTCCTCCGGCGGCCGTCTCCACTAGAGCCTCGACAGGCCACCCGCAAATGTGTGCGAACGGGGCCACCCTGTGGACACAAATTCCAGGGCTTTGGCACATCTCGCCTTAGGAAAATTGTATTTTCAGAGAAGGTGCTACATTAGGTTTGGGTCAGAAACCCCATCAACTAGGGCAGTGGGTGCAGTCTAGACAGGTTCGTCACGGAGACCGCTCTGCTGGTCTCACGTTCCACGCGCTCTCGGAACAAACGGCTGTGGAACGTGCCGATGCTGCGGCACAGAGCAAGCGTCCTGTTCACACCCGGCAATACTCCTCCGTGACCACACGGCCCTCAAAGCAGATAAAGCTTGGCTGTCTCGGGC